ATTTTTGGGCTGGCCGCGAGGATAACGTGAAATTGTAATCGGTTATCGTTTTTGGCACATTATCGGCGATAAACCGCCGATAAAGGAGATTATCGCCCGATAACTCTGTGATTTTTATCGGGTTTATCGGCTAAGAGCAGCACTGGGTTTTTGAGTTTGAGATGTGAAACCCGACCCGACCCGACTTCGCAATGAAAAGAAAAGGTAAGCCCTAACCACGACTTCGTCTCTGAAAACCCAAGACTTCCTCTCTGGCGGCTGTTCTTCCCCTCTCGCCTTCGTCAATCTCCACTCTCCAGTGAGCAGCGACTTCGTGAATCTCCAGCGAGCAGCCAACCACGACTTCGTGAATCTCCAGCGAGCAGCGAGTCAGCGACTTCGTGAATCTCCAGCGAGCAGCGACTTCGTGAATCCTCCTCTCTCGCGTCGACTTCGTGAATCTCCGGCGAACCCTAAACTGCCTCTCTCGCCTTCGCGAATTCCAGAGAACCTCGCCTCTTCACGCTCGCCTCGACTTCGAACAGGTATCATTCATCTCTTCTCACCTTCGAAGTTCATTTTCGTTCACTTCTGGCCTTCGTCTCTCTCTCTGCTGCTGTTTCCTAAGTTTAATTTTGTCGTTCTCTTCTAGCCTTCGTCTCTGGCTGTGGTTTTCTATTTTTTAAGTTGATTTTTGATTTGAACAGATATTATCTACTTGTGAGGACTGACTGACTGTTGACTGTTGAATTATCTACTCAAATAGGAATTTTTTTTCTTTTTAATCTTATAGAATTTCTGTTGTGAGACTTCTCAGACTTGTATTACTGATTTACTGGGATTAATTGTGGAGACTGCAAATCTGTAATTAATTGTTGTGGGATTAATTGTTGTGAGACTGTAAATCTATAATTAATTGTTGTGAGATTGTAATCTGTTGTGAGACTTATTGTTTATAGAAAATATCTCTTAATTAATTTTAAGAAATTACTTTATAAGCAAATTTAATTGTAATTTCAATTAATTTTGAGCAATTGGTTTTTACTTGAGCAATTAATTTTGAGTATTGTTGTGAGACTTATTCTGTTGTGAGACTTGTTTGTTGTTTATAGAATAATTGCAATTAATTTTAAGAAAATACTTGTGAGACTGTATAAGAAAATTTAGTTGTAATTACAATTAATTTACAACTTAAATAAATATACAACTTGGATTTGCAAATAGTTTACAATTGCTATTTTAAGTTGTCTTCCTCAGTTGCTTACTTCATTCCTTAAAATCTTGATGTCATTTTGATCTCAAGTCTGCAACAAAATAGAACAAGTCAGTGTTAGGCATAAAATTTTATGACGTGGTGAAATAAATAAAATAAATATACAATTGTGTAATTGTGTTGCTATTTTATTTTCAAACTTGTGTTTATGGTTTACTATCTCATGTTGACAGGAGAATGTCTTCTGAAGGCCAAGCATCTAATAAACCACCAAAGCCAGCCGGTAAAGATTCTTGTTGGGCATATGCTGAGCGGGTTGGTAATGATGCTTTAAAGGTTCGGTGCAAGTTTTGTGGGCAGTCTATGTGTGGAGGCATAAGCCGGTTCAAACAACACTTGGCTGGAATCAAAGGGAATTGTTTGCCGTGTGAGAAGGTCCCCGAAGATGTGAAGAAAAAAGTAAATGAAATCATTCTTCTTGGATGCTCCGACACCATATGAATTGAGGGAGACTATTCTGCAGAGAGAGGTGGATGAGACAAGGGAGATCATTGAAAAATTTAAGAAGAGTTGCGCACTTAACGGGTGCTCCATACTGACCGATGCTTGGAGTGATCGAAAGATGAGAAGTATTATGAATATAGTTGTGCATTCAGATGGAGGAACAACATTTTTAGGTTCATGTGATGCATCGGGCGACAAGCATGATGCGAATTATATATGCAACTATGTGGAGAAAGCAATTGAAGAGTTGGGGGCACAGAATGTTGTGCAAATTGTCACAGATGGAGCTTCAAATAACATGGCAGCCGCAAAAAGCTTAGCAATTAAGAAGCCAAATATATTTTGGACAACTTGTGCGGCACACACTATTAATTTGATGTTAGCCGATATAGCCAAAATAAGACCTATTCGGAGTGCAATTGCAATGGGAAGAACTGTGTCGGTGTACATTTATAGCCACACGAGATCTCTTCATGTGATGAGAGAATTTGCACGTGGGGACCTTGTTAGACCCGGGGTGACACGATTTGCCACAGCTTTCCTTGCTTTGGAATCATTGAGAGATAAAAAGAAAGTGTTGAAGCAAATGTTTGTCTCTAATGAATGGATGGAATGCGAGCTTTCAACAAAAGAAGCGGGGAAAAAGGTACAATATAATTTAAAAGTTAAAGTTTGTAACTAATAACTAAAAATATTCATTTGCTTTAGAATATATAATTCTATTGTATTACTGATTATTATGATTTTTGACTATTTGTAGGTTACTGAGATTATTCATAGCAACAAGTTTTGGGACAACGTTGATCTTGCCCTTAGAGTTTTTTCTCCTTTGGTGAAGGTTCTAAGGAGAGTAGATGGTGATAAAATCCCCTCAATGGGGTTTGTGTATGGAGACATGATGAAGGCTAAGGAGGAGATCAAAGAGGCCTTTCAGGATGAAGAGAAGAAATATCTTCTTATAGAGAAGATTATTGATAAGAGATTTGATGCCAAGCTTAAAGAACCACTCCATAAAGCAGGATATTATTTAAATCCTTATTTCTACTATCCAAATCTTATGGAGATTGAAAGAGATGGAAGTTTCTTGAGTTGCCTTGTTGATTGTATGAACAAATTCTATCCAGATGATGGTGACATGCTTGGCAAGATTGGAGACCAACTCTCTGATTATCAGCATCAAAGAGGATCATTCGGGAGAGAACTTGCAAAGAGAGAAGCAAAAAAGCCTAATAATAATCCGGGTATATTTTCATTTTTCATTCAAATTAATTTGGTGATTTGACTAATTCTTGTTTGAATGTTACAACTTACAAGTTACTAATTGTTTGCAACTATGACTTAACTAGTTATATGGTGGAAACTTTTTGGCATTGACGCTTCCGAGATTCAGATGAGGGAATGGATAATATTCCAACATTTAGCTCCGATGAAGATTAATTTAGTTATCTTTGCTTTTGCAGCTTTGCTTTCTTTTGGATTTGCTATTTGAATGTTTAGAATTATGAACTATTTGTTGTTTTTGGAACTTGGGTGATTGTTGATTAGCTTTTGTTCATGATGTTATCTTATCCTTTGCTTGTTTGTTATTACATTTTGACTAACATTATACATGCCTAGATGGTTCTTTATTCGTGATGTTATCTTATCCTTTGCTTGTTTATTATTCCATTTTGACTAACATTATATTTTTTTTTCAAGGCTATGCAATTGAATGGTTTCATCGTGCGGTCGAGATGCAAGTTTCTCTTTCAACAATTGGTTAGTGATTCTAAACATGGTTATTTACATTTTGGTATGTTTATA